GCTTGACTGTAAGATAGACATATCAAACAGGGACGAAAGTCGGTCATAGTGATCCGATAATTCTTAGTGGAAAGATTATCGCTCAACGGATAAAAGGTACTCCGGGGACGCTTTTCCCACCCGGCTGCCTAAAGTCAGTTGCTGGCTGCAGAGTACCAGTGCCACGTGTCTACTATACGCCGAATCATTGCGTTGGCCAAGGCCCAAGGCGTCTCTCACGGTAACATGAAAGTGACTGTTGCAAACAAGAAGAAAGGCAAAGCAGGCAGAAAAATAGCTTACACTGCCGAGCAAGTTAAGGTCCAGCTGCTGTAGGTGCCTTTTTCACAATGAACAACGCTTCGTTCAATATCTGAATGTAGGAATAGAACCAATAGACATGGACAGTGATGAATAAGCACCTACAAGAGTGTGCGGTGTGGGTATTGCGTGAAGGTGTAAGGCTCGGTAGGAGTGTTCTCGAGGTAAACCCCCCTCCTGAATCGAATGGCGCTGCCAGAATTGGCCTATTCCGACTTTTGATTGGTTCTGAGACAGTATTTTGAAGGATTTGATTGGATTGCTGAATTGGAGCATCTTGTGAAATTTATACGGAGTATAATATCTTGAAGGGACTGTATTCTTATTCGAGGAGTACGTCATTTCTCTGAGTCGCGCAGTTATGTGGGACGGAGGGAGTACAGTATGAATCGTCGAATTTGGACAAGAATTCAATTTTTGGGGGCACCTCCCTCGAAGCCAAATGTCGGCAGTACCATGGAACAGAAGCAGTACTACGTACTACCTCTGTTCGATATTAGTGCCGACATTTGACTTCTCGGCCACCCCAATTATTTATACTTGTCCAAATTCGATGAATCAAATCACGTTCGACGGAGAATCAAAATCTACAGGTAAGCTCTATTGACTGCAAAGCGGGAATAGCAAGTTTTGGCGCTCAAATTTGACTTCGCCATCCGTCATCCGAATAAAAATTCGGTTTCACAATTAAAATTTCGGCGACCTGAGCACGTCGACATCATGGGCCGACAACCCACCGGCCGAGAGCTCTCCTTCGCGAAGAAGATGGAAGTAATCAGTCGCCTCTACAAGCGGTCGACCATAGGAAAGCTTGCCCATGGAGCCATCAACACAACTGCCTCCGAAATGAACATTCACCGATCCACTGTGGCGCGCGTCTGGAAGGACTTCCATCGCGACGCCTTGATGCCTTCACGCAAGACAGGCCGTGTCGGCCGCACGCCCATCTACACGCCCGGTGTCGTTGTAGCCATGGTCCGCGAGTTGCCTCAGTCACTGCGCACCACCATGCGAGAAATCTCCGAAGCTACGGGCATTCCGCTGTCGACTCTCCACCGGCATCTAAAAGCCAGAACACTTCGCCGCCGCTCGACAAGGATCAAGCCAATGCTCAGTGACGACAACAGGGCGCAGCGCCTTGCATTTTGTCGTCAAAGACGCTGTCTTTGACGACATGTGGGATGTCGTACACCCAGGCGAAAAGTGGATCAATGCTGACACAAATGTGCGCAAGGATTACCTCACGGAGGGTGAAGATCCAGAGCAACGTTCCTGGTCGAGCAAGAGGTTCATCCTGAAGGTCATGTTCCTGGCCGCCGTCGCGTGTCCCCGATATGACACCCAGCGTGGCGCCTACTTCGACGGAAAGATTGGCATGAGGCCAATTGTTGAGTATCGACCAGCCCAACGCAACTCCCGCAATCGGCCGGCTGGAACTATCGTCGCAACGTTGGTCAACGGTGACGCTACGGTGTACCGCAACTATGTCGTGACACAAGTCATTCCCGCTATCAAGGCAAAATTTCCTACCTCGAACAAGCGCATTGTGCTCCAGCACGACAATGCAACTCCACACGGCGGCGTCACCAACAAAGACCTTGTAAGCTCATCAACGGACGGGTGGACCTTTGTTGTTCGCAGCCAGCCGCCAAACAGTCCAGACCTGAACGTTTTGGATCTTGGGTTCTTCGCATCACTCCAAACCTTGCAGCACAAGTTGGTGAGTCGTTCGTTGGATGATGTCATTCATGCAACACTTGCTGCGTTTGAGCTCAGCGCTCGGAAATGTGTTTCTTACCTTGCAGACCGTGATGCGCCTTGTTCTGGTGAACAATGGCGGCAACTTCTTCCGCTTGCCGCATTTGCGTAAGGATGCGTTGCGTCGTGCCGGTGCACTCATGTCCAACGTTTCCTGTCCTGTTGCGCTCTTGGCCTGAGAGACGACTCCGGTTTTTAACCAATAACATGCTTGTGTTTTCTTGTCTACCAATTGGACTGAAATGTCGCAAGTAACTTGGAAATAGTCAGATTTGCAAATGGCGGCAGTATATCCGAATAGAGGAAGTACTACCTCTGTTCCATATTAGTGCCGACATTTGACTTTACGGTGACCCCAAAAACTGAATTTTTGGTCGAAACAAAGCCCCAATGATGTATCAAGGAATTCTGAACAAAGTTTCTATTGGACAAAACGACCGAAAATGATATTTTCGGCCCAAAAAACAAATTCGTCAACTTGTTT